CCGGAGCCTGCAACTCTATTTCTTTCGACTTTATCGAAATGACCATCAGACTTTATGAAATTCAACATTTTAAATTTGGCAACCTTGTTCAATAGTTCTTGGAAAGTAGAAATAGAAGCTATGCATAAATATGATACTATCTTATCATCGATATTACCCATGAAGAATTGAATTGCATTATCTTCTTCTAATTGTTTGCATTTCATACTCATATTACGCCAACGAGTGATATATTTCCTCATCAACTCAACTTTCTTTTCTCCAGAGCGGACCAGCAATAGTTCTTTTCTCTGTTGTGCTGGCAAATCTCTTGATTAACATTGTTTCAAGCTCTACGAATGTTTTTATTAAAACATTTAGCAATTCTGCATACCATTCAAAAGTAGTTCCCGTCAAACTACTAATGAATTGGCTGAATAACATGCATCTGCGCTCCCGGTATTGCCACGTGATGCTTTGAACTGCGCCAAAATTTTGTTTGTCATTGCCATTTTCCATGGCCATTTTCCATTGCCATTGCCATTAACGTTATTGAATTTTGGTATTGAATATCCCTTTAGATAAGGGACTTCATCATACTCAGTTAGATATGGGCGGCCTTTACTCACTAGCTTCTTAGCCTGTTCTGTGACTATAACAAACTTGATATTTTCATTAATTGATGTCTCGAGCAGCTTCGCTATCATGGGCTTGAACGTACTAACAATATTTTGTGTTGGCTGATAAGCCACCTGGTTCATCCTATTTCTCTCTGGGAATACTTTGCGCACCCAAAGTTTGTGGCACTGGATTGATAACAAGTTGATGGTTATTTGGTAGGGTAGGAGTAGGGACCGCCGTAGTATTTCTTTGCATCAACTCCGTCATGACAACCATATGTGTCATCATTTCATTCATTTTAATGTTGAGTTGAGATATTTCGTTGTCTATGTCTCTTAATTGATGTCGCATTTGTTTTTGTTGTATAGCCAATGCGGTAGTACTGTGAGTATTGCCTCTTCTATTCATTCCATTTCTCTTTCTGGGGATACTTTGCACACCCAAAGTTTGTGGCACTGGATTGATAGCAAGTTGTGTTTATTTGGTAGGGTAGGAGTAGGGACCGCTGAAGTATTTCTTTGCATCAACTCTGTCATGACAGCCTTATGTGTCATCATTTCATTCATTTTAATGTTGAGTTGATATATTTCGTTGTCCTTGTCTCTTATTTGATGTCGCATTTGTTTTTGTTGTATAGCCAATGCGGTAGTACTAGCGAGTATTGCCTCTTCTATCTTCTTTTTTTTTCTTCAGTTCTCGCTTCTTCTTCATCGCCTGAAGAGGGACTTTGCTTATTCCCCCCATGGCTTTTCTTGGGGCTTCTTGGGAACAGTAGTATGACGTCGTTGTCGATAATATCTGGTGCCAGGTTGGTTTATAGTAAGGTTTGCCATATAGACTACTTCGACCTCCATTATATCTTCATTTTTGTCTTCTTCTTGCACTCTAATCTCCAAGCGAAGCTTCCAATGAATATCAGGCTCAAATTGCAGGAGAGATAATCCCTTAATTAGAGAGTTTTGATGGAGATGGCTTTCCTCCTTAGGAGTTTTGATTAACGATGGGACCTATTGGAAAATTCTCCAATGTGTCGACCACCATGATATTCATCAATCCGCGGTTTCTTTTTAACAACCCATTCTTGATTGACAACGGATCTATGAGAATGCACACCAGATGTCGTGCTTTTTTCGGAATTTTTTTTTTATCATGGAGCCTTGGCCTCCATAATTGTTTATCTTTTCGCCAAGATCTTTCAACGCTAGATTCCTGGACACTTTGTTTGTGTGTCACATCTCGATGCTCACCGAGTGAAACATGTCTGAGATGATCTTGGATGACTATTGACAAAGTATTTTAGTCGAATCTTGATCCGCCCTAGTTATACTAAGTCTTCCATACTTATTTTTCATTAGACAATTATTCTTAGCTACGTTTAGAATTTTGTGTACTCAAACAAATAAGATCTTGAGTTTCTTTTTTTCTTCATATAGAGGCTTGTGTTGCTAATTTCAGAAATGACTATTTAATATTTCCAGTAGAGCTGTTCCGTTTCACCCACTTCAAATCTTCAAATTTATTTGGGCTGCTCAGGCAACATATGCTGAGCTCGCAACTCAACGTTTTTTCTTATCCTGTTTTCGAGTTAGCTTTTCTCCAGATGATGAAGCTTCAACATCATGTGTGCCCGACACGAGAGGTTCGTCAGGTATTTAAGCAGACTGACGAGCAGACATCCGTGAAATCTTTTGTCCACAATTCTATTCATAGCTGGTGCTTCAGAAAAAAATGTGTCTTTCAAATACCGAAGACCACTCTTCGGGAACTTCAATAATATTAGCTTCAACAGGTCTTGGGCCTTGCACGGGTTGGTGAGCACGATGTACAGGTGCAATAGCAAAACAAGACATCGCAGGATGACCTCGTAGAGGCATGTCGCGAACAGGGACGACAGCCGCAGGGGCTTTGATAGGGAATTCTAGGCTACCAAGAAGAATAGTCGCGTTGGTGTTCCTAGTGGTGATAACAACATTAGCTAGGCATATGTTAGGACCCAAGTTGAACAGTAAAAATAGTGTTTTGAAGATTCATCCTGCATAAATGAAAGAAGGGGATAAGTTAATCAGTAATTTAATATTATGCACCACACTTTCAAAGATGCAGAGTCAGAATAACATAATTATATAGACATTGAATATTCTATCAGGACTTTAAATTTTAATTTGAATATAGTCTTGCTGTTATTATATTACAACCATGACTAGCAAAAGATGAAAAGAGAAACCTTTCCTAACGGAGTTGCTAGAAATCTGTGCGCTCCGAAAATTAACCAACGCTTCCTAGGACAACTTTCTTGATTTAATCTTTTTTTTATTTGTTGTGAGAGCTTTGGAGGGTTGAATTTTTTGAAGGCAGATTGGATTGTGTGGCTTTGATAGGGAAAAATTACAGCAGTGTGCAAGGCAAGTTAAGCTCAAGAGGGAAGAATACTATAAATTATGAAATTTTAATAAATTAAAGTCATTTGGTAATTTTGTTGTTGTTTATGAAGTAACGTTCCAACTAATATTTCATAAATGTATTAGCTGCTCCTTAACTGCCATCTCCATGGCCATGAAGCTTACTTGGGAGGGTGTGCTTGTTTATTTTTCACGCAATTGAATATGTGTAAGGGTGGGTTCGTGAAAAGTAACGTATCTTTGAAAATTTGTATAGTAAACGGAAAAGTTAGAGCTAGTTGTGTAGCAGTTATTGGAAAGCAATGTATCTTTGACAATTAGTATAGAAAGTGGAAAATTTAGAGATAGTTGTGCTCCATATAATTTGACACAAATTAATTAGTTTTTATTTATTTTGCTGACAGACCGGTGATCTGCTTCATGGTATTTTACCAAGATTAAGTTGCTTTTTTGGGTTATGTGCAAGCTGGCCAATAGATAAATTTTGTCATTGTTAGTGTGAATTATTTCAACCATTTTTTGTTATGCAATAAGCTAACCGTAACTTTCTGACAAGAAATGTCAGCTTCTGCATCTGTAAATGATTGTTTCCTACCTTTTTGTTTTTCAGCTGACATGCTTTAATTCTAGAAAATGACACCTTTATGCACGGTTGCCCATTGGATTTCTGAACTCATTAAATTTTAAAGCAAACTGATTTATCAGGAAAGGAACTTATAACCCATAAGAGTTTAAATTTGGTTAGCAATTCAGGCCTGTGCCGGATGGTTTTAATTCATTAGCTTTTCTGAAGGTTGCTTTGATATGTTCAGCCATATGGGAAAGCTCTCAAGCGCTATTTATTGACCTTATTGGCCAAGAGCAACCCATCTGGAAATTAGTTCAGTTTTGTTGGATTTCTTCCAGCTACATTGTGAACCGTGCAATGTGAAATTTGATAGCCAATGTTTAGAAAATTGGAAGGAAGTAATAATGAAACTACAAAGAATCTAATGTAGAGAACTGCTTGCTCAAGAAACGAATGGGCTATGACTTGATCGGAAACCCCATTGATTCTTGTCTCAGATTGCTAGTGGTTTCTTTTCTTTTATTTTCCAATGGTGATTCTCTAACGTCTCAGGATTGCTGGGAATGACTGGGAATGTTAGTCACCTTCAGGAAGTTCAAGGAAAATAAGAAGAAAAGGAAGACAAAAGAAAAAAAAAAGAAAAAAAAAATGAAGGGGTACTTACATACATAGCATACAATTCTTATTTATTTACATATCTCACACCTAAACTTTAATATTTACACACATCACACTCAAATCTTTAATATCACATCAAAAATAGCACCATTAATATTTTTTACAAGTGGAATGTACCTTTTTCATCCGTTTAAATCATTAAAGAGTTATGTAGGCAACATGAACCCCAATATCTAGGAGCTCTGTTTCCTATATTTTGCTCTATTCCTTTTTTGTTCAATTCACATTATTGAAGCTCCTAATTTTACTTCTCCATGTTCTAGTAATATATTCAAGCAACTCAGGACTAATTAAAGACCATTGATTCTAGGAATTGAGGAAATTATAGTAATATAATTTGGACTAAATATCTCTGGGTCCTACATTTTATATCTGCATCATATAATCATGAACTCTGATCCGCTCAAGCATACCCGGAATTTGGTGTTTATCTGCAGCCTAAAATCTAAATTCCTCCTTTTGCATCGAACTTCGTTTCTGGTTGATTTCGTCCAATTCTCTCGGTTAAAAATTTATTTGCAGATAATCATGCTTCACCTTTTAGTTGGGGAAGCACAGTATGATTTTTTTCTTCAGTCCTTTGGAGTTTAACATGGAAAAGTCTGTTGGAAGCTCAACTTTTTATATTTGAATCTATCACACGACATTACAGTTGGCACTTCAAAAAAAATGACAGAACAAAACAGCATCTTAAAATTACTCTCCTAGCTTTGAAATTTGTTTATAACAAGGATTTATTTCCTGCCTGATTTCAGTTCCCTGTTGGTCGTGTTCACCGTTTGCTTAAGTCACGCATTGCCGCAAGCGGAAGAGTAGGAGCCACTGCCGCAGTGTACTGTGCTGCGATTTTGGAATATCTTACTGCTGAAGTGCTTGAGCTTGCCGGCAATGCGAGCAAGGATCTGAAGGTTAAGCGCATCACACCAAGGCATTTGCAGCTTGCTATTCGTGGCGATGAAGAGCTTGATACACTGATCAAAGGTACCATAGCAGGTGGAGGTGTGATTCCCCATATCCATAAGTCCCTCATCAACAAATCATCCAAGGAATAGTATTCTCCTACACTTAATCTTCTATGCCGTTCTTCCCAGCTTTAATGACAAAGTGTTCTTAGTTATTATTTTCATTATTATTTTTATTTCTTCTGTTTGTAGATTTACAATTTTTGGAACTTTGTTTGAATATTTGTCCAAAACTTACAACTTTAGATGATTTCTTGAGATGATTTTCAGAATTCTGTCATCTGTAGTTTGATTGTGTGGTTTGAGGTGTTCGTTTTCTGTTAAAGAGGCTTGTAACTTGGAACAGCCAGTTTTGTTAATTAGAGGTAGCAGGAGAGGCTTGCTGCCAATTCTTGTGTTTTAAAAACTCGTCTCTAAATTATTTTTACAAATGTTTGCTTGTTAATTTTCTGCATTTTTTTTTTTACTTTCTTAGGCGTAGGTTGATTGGTCCATTTTCATGGGAAAAAAATTCCTTCTGAAATCCAGACGTAGCTCTACATGCGGACTCTAATAATATGCTGCTACGTGTGCTACATCGCAGATGTTATTTCAGGTTTGTTGAAGTGAAATCTTGGAGGTTATTTTGGGTTTATTTCTGGGTTATTGAAGAGAAATTCATATATTCCACTTTAATAACATCAAAATAACACTGGATGTTATTTCAGGATTATTGAAGAGAAATTTATGTATTTCACTTCAATAACCTACAAATAGCACCGAGAAGGTTATTTCAAGAGAAACCCATAAAAAACCTCGAAATAATTCAGAGATAACAACACAAATTATTTCAGGATTATTGCGGGGGTTGTTGGAGTCAGCAGTTCTACTCCAATAAACTACATAGTTCTAGTTTAATATTTTCTTAGGTGGCCCGATAAATAACACACATGACGACATATTACTAGGAGTCCACACGTAGAGCTACGTCCAGAATCCGAATACCTAAGGTATAATTGCGTCATTTGCACACATACCACACAATTCTCATGGATTTACACCTGTCTTTCATATTTATATGTATAAAACTAGATTTTTTAAATCACGTCAGAAATATCATCATAATTAAAATTTTAAAATTTTAAAAGCGAAATATATTTTATTTTCAAAGCATAGATTTACTTATATTATAAGTGTCAAATTATACATTGGATGGGTAGATACATAGAATTGTGTGGTATGCATGTAAAACCCTTTTAATGATTTTTATGGTTGGAAATTTGTAGAGGCAATTAAGGATTGATATGCTGAATTTGTTGAAAAGCAGGTCAAAGAATGTGAGCTTATTGGATGATTGCCTCAACGTGTCACATCACATCCGTTGGCAAGTTTTAATTAGTTAATCAATATATTATTATTTTCATAAGAAGTTGGCGAGTTTTCTTCGTTATGATTGATGTGATGTGATGTGACTTCAAGCCCATCAAGTTCAAAAGGTTATCTTTGTGTTTTTTGATATGTATTGATTGACTAAAGTTATGTCAATATGTAATTTTGATAAATTTTTTTGTTAGATCCTATTGATTTTCTCTAGAATTCTCCATCTCCCTCTTTTTCTCTTTTGTGGGGCTTCTTCTTTTTGTTAATAAGATTTTAATAGATCCCTGAACAAATATGAATTTAATATATTTATAGATGTGATAAGCATGCAAAGATACTTGGGACAAGAAATCTACGAGGTATCTTCTTGAAAATAGTAAGTTCTCCAATAATTTTGGATCTTAAATTGTCCTGTGGAGGAATAATGTGAATCAGATGAAAGGAAAGAAAAATAAGATAAATTTCATTTTTTTTTTAAGGAAATTGTTAAATATTCTACCCTTTTTTCATTTTTTTTAAGGAAATTGTTAAATATTCTACCCTTTGCGAAGATGACTCTCCTATTTATAAATCATAGATAGGGTATTGCAAATCGTATGATTGCCCCCAATTTAATGGGGGTGTTATCCTAACTTATAAGTCATTACACCTTTATATATCTGTAATTGCATAATACCTGTAACCACTGGTGGCATCGTTTCATATCCGTAACTGTGTTAGATATCGCTTAGTATTCGTAACTGTCTGACTTGGTCACTTGGTATTCATTCAGTTAGTCTAGAGTCAATCGATTGACTAAATGATCTTCGACCGCCTTTACCGAGGAAACCAATTGTGAAGACATATTGCCCTTGGGTAGGATTATTTCATCAGATACAGGGTGTATCACCATAATCTGATAGGTAGCACACCTTCGGTTAATGAGTTTATATTGAAAGAATTCCCTCTGGGTGATTGTTGATCTGTGTAATGGCTTATGCTGGTTCGATAGGTCTCGACAAGATCACGTGATGTTTGTTGGGTCGATCTGTTCTATGTGCAATTGGCCACAGAGGTTGACTGTTATAATGTTGAATGTTTGTACATCTATCTTCTTTGTTCGGTCCACTGTACTTCTCGAGATTTGTGTAGGCATATTCGTGATGCACATAATTAGTTTTCAAAATTTCTTACTTCTTTGAAAGTGACGACTGTCATAGGAATAAGATAATTAAATAACATAATCGTTCACATATTGAGGAATAAGTGTTACCAGCCAATAATTATAATCCTTTAATTTTTGTGCAATTTTTCTATATAAATAGGGCGCAAAGTGCGCTTTTCTTTTTTTCTTATCTCCCGAATTCTCTCCTTTTAGTCGGCGATATATGCAAATGAATATGTCAGGTGCTAAGAAACCATTGAGCGAAGAAGCACTAATTAAGCCATTGGGCTTTCTGCTTCGAGAGCTCGCCCTTTTGGGGATGAGAGAAAGAAAAATAACTGGAAGTTTTCACTCGGCCCAAAGAAAAGAGCCCGACGGACATAGAAGAGAAAGGAAGATGAGAGAAAAATGCTTGGTACCAAAAGGCCGAGCAAAAGAACAAAGCCTGAAGGACTTAAATCAATTATGTAGCTGATTGTGAAGTTGCCATGTGTGGAAGAGGTTGGGGAATCAACCATTTTGATAGCACTTGTAGAGCTATGGAGTAAAAAAGTAGGCATGTTTTAGACCTTACACCGCTTCATCAACTTCCGGCTCAACTGCCATCCCAAGGAAAATAACCATTGGCGATGACAGTGCAGGTTTTGCCACCAAACTTCTCTTTGTTTCATCCCCCAATTAGGAAGGCTGCTCAAGGTGATTCTCCATCCTGAGTAGATGACTCACTCCGACATTTAGCTAACGAAGCTATCATGGTGAAGTTTTGTTGGTAGAAGACACTCCTCCTCTGCCTTTGGCCGAAGGTAGTCCCCAACAAGGCGCACCTCCTCTCATCGTAGAGAGATTCCATACATCAAACATAGAATGTATGATTGGTAACCTAACACTTCCCTTTTATTTTTTCTTCCAATTTATTCTCATTACACAAACTCAAATACTGCAGATGAAATCGTGGACATTATTGACTCCTAGCTCAATGAGACAGAATGCAAACTCGAGCCAATGAAGCCTGCGAGTCCTTCTACTCATGCTGCAGCTGAGGGGTATCCACCCCGCTGACTTTTCTAGTCCTAACACTTATATCAATCAACCCAGAGAGGGAGGCTGACGACCAAAGTGAGTCTCATGGGTCGCTAGTCCGCCATATGGACAAGACCGTGGATTCCTTTGTTTGGGCTGCAAATCTTCAGTGAGAAGCCATCGTATCAGACTTGCAAGAGGAACTGGCGGTCGTGTATGCAGATATGGAGGGTCTTTGGGCCCAAGTTGCGGATGTGGATGCTCTTTTAAAATATGTTACATACATGGAAGCTCTTCGAGCCTAGGTTGCAGACGTGGAAGCTCTTCGGGTCAAGGTTGTAACCCCAAGGGGTGAACTCGCTGAATTTTCAGTTGCCAACTAGATCTCTCATGTCGCACTGAGGAGGAGAATATAGAAAAGTATAATTTTGGTGAGCGTGCATTGTATATTAGTCTGATGAGTTGGGGTTTGGTCCTGCCTGAAGCGGCGGATGACCCGACTATAAAATATTTTTTTTTAATAAATAAAATTTCACAAACTTTTCCATTATTTAGTCATCATTATTTTTCTTGATTTTTGTGCTGAAGTGATATCTTGACAGAACTTCATGTGGCAGTTCGACTTCCTTGTGGGGCTATATATATAGGTTTAAACACATGCTAAGTGAAGCTTTTGCATTTTTCTGCTTTGGCTACTCTTGGGTTAGCTTATTTCTAAAGTTCGATGGCTCCCAAATATTCTCCTCAGATTTTTGGCTTAATTAGATTGACCGAGAGTTCAATCCTTATCGAGTTTGAGGTTAAGCTATTGAACGAGGCTTGTGTAAATGACACAAATGTTGTCTTGAAGTAAGTAGATGCAGATATCCGTGCTACTGACTACTTGAAAGAAAATCTAATCTTCTACCGAGACCATTTTTGTTCTGGGCTTCAACTGCCCTTGTATATAGAGCTCCGCTCAATCTTCAACTTCTATTGTGTGATTTCAGCCCAAGTGAAGCCAAACTCCATCTCCGCGGATATGACATATGTGATTTAATTGTGCAGAATTGGCATTCCTTGATACCACGAACTGTTCTCTCTTTTGTTTTCCCTCCGAGTTGAGCCAGAAGGGTACATGGTGTTTGACACTATCCTGAAGTTTCATTTAATCATTTGGAGGATACGATAAAAGACTAAAAGATTCAAGTTTTGAGAGTTGTTTGTGAGAAATGGAGCATCCAAATCAGAGCAACCCACGACCTGTAAATAAGAGCAAGATGGTTTCCCCGTGGTTGAAAGCAATGGAATAGGTCATTCTCGACTAGCAACTATCAGTGGTCCAATACACTGACCCCCTGAGTGTAAATCAAGTGCTGAACCTAAGTGACTATGGTCAAATGACAGAAGAGATGTGGGCCTCTTCTAAAGTCAACTTGAGAAGGTCATTCGGCTCTCAAAGTAGATGACAAGGAGTTGAAAAAGTGCGGACGACTTCCCCATAGGAGAAACAGAAGAGGTAACTAAAGAAGCCGATTTGTCAAGGCGATAAATTCCAAGTTTGGATTTTGTTCGTTCAGTTTCCAAGACTTCTGCTATTATACAGAATAAAGTCACATGTAAATTAATAATGATCAAACAAAAACCTCCCTCATTGTTATACGTGATTCAAGTGATGACATGACTCCTTCTCTTTCCCCACAGATATTGAAGGGTCGTCTTGGTGCCTTTCAACACAAAAATCTCTTAGCTATCTTCAACAGGTTTTAT